TACGTACAACCTTTTATAGCTTTCAAACTACAAATATGCATAAAAATCCGTTATAAATAGACATGTACATTATGGTGGTCCAAAAAAAAGGTTTGTAATTCTTGAAAATCAATATTTTTAGAACGGAAAACTTCGTTTCTCTTCAGGAGACTTCCAACAAAACTACCTAATTGTTTATTATCTATTTTCTATCATTAACTAATTTTTATAGGACCCCTAAAAACCTCAAATAATGCAATTGGGGACCTATTTGTTTTTGTCCATATAAAATATGTGGAAAATTTTAAGCGTTTGGAGCGACCTCTAAAAATTATTTGTTTTCAAAATAAAAAAATAGAAGTAAATTTTTTTCGAAATAGAACAATCGTAGGGGGTGAGAACATTAAAATTCCGACTTTACTTTTTCAGATGCATTTTTGAACCACCCTAATGTGCATATATTCGTATATGCATGCATACCTAATATATGTAAGTATGCACATGCATACATACATAGTAAATATATAACTACACAAATACATAAATACCACGTTAATAAATAAATACTTATTTATATGTATGTTTGTTCAACACATGTCGCAGACTGTAAATTGTACCCATATTTAATAGAGTAAAATTGGCATTAAATAAAATTAAAAATTGTGAACCAAATGTTATAACATATAAGTAAATAAATTGTATTGTATGACCAAAAAATAAAATATTTACGAAGAAAGCCTAAAAAATGCATTAATAAAAAATAAATAAAGCAAACAATAAAGATTTAATGTAAAAAAATATTCAGTTGTATTTTTTGTGAGTAACTCTTATTCAGATAGATTGATGAATATATGTCAGATAGGGCCCTCGATGGCTGAGTGGAAGATCGACCTATCTCGGCAGCCAGTTCGAAAACCCTCCTGATTAAAAAAAATAAATATATGTATGAAAATAATCAAGTTCATTATGTTATTGTTGTTGTGGCATCACATGGTCCCCGAATTGGTTGGTTGTTTATTCATATTCTCCATCTGACTGCTCAAACCTTAGGCCCAGGAAGCGGGCGGTCCCCAATATGTTGAATCCACAGCGCCTCGGGTTTCAGACGGGTAGGATATGTAGGACATGCGAAAAGGTGTGCGTTGTTGTGCGGACCGGTTCCGCATTCTGGCCAGGTGATCAGCGATCTCCGGTTCTAATCTGGTTCTGTATGAGTTTAGGCAACTGCACCAGCCAGAGCTGAGTTGCGCCAGTGTGGTTCTAATTTCGCGCGATAGTGGAAATTCACTCATATCGATGGGAGGCGGCCGGCCGCCAAGGACTATGTTTTTGTGGCATCCTCATGTTGCAAACTGTATGCACACTGATTTCCCCTTTTACTGCATACGAATTTTCCGTTACTTCCGCTTTTCGTTTCGTGAATGTGCAAATCGTACTGGTTTAACGTTTAATGTTTAACGTTAAACTGAACAAACGTTTTGCAGCAATTTCCGGTAGTGCCATCTCATAAATGTTTACAGTTACCCTGTACTTCCGGTACTGGGTTGCCAAAAACAGCTGATTTCTTGAATTTGTTTTGTACATTTTCTCGTTTCTGATTGGAAAAGTGCATAGAGAACGAAACAATGCAACGGGTGAAACCAGTGTTTATCACCCTATACTTCCGGTAGTGCATTCCAGTGACGTCCGGTAGTGCATTCCAGTGGAAGTTTTGTGATCTATCCCTGTTCTGACATTCGTTCTTGTTTTTGTTTTGTGTTTCTGATCTAAATTTTGGCTAAATTTGACATTTCCTTTTGGACGTAAAATTGGCGGCAACAGCTGTAAATAAAAGATTGGAAAAAGGAAAAATTGGCAAGGAAGAAAGTCTGAAAAAACAGTTAATTATTTTGCGAAAGTTTTTCTGAATCGTCCGCTCTAGTTTCGTTACATTTATGTACATATTTGTTTGTTGAGTGGTGATTATTTAGTTTAGGTAAGCAAACGAGATGCTCAATTTAAATTGTGTTATTTGTGCTGAGCTCTTCGTCGCCTCCGATGATGTGCGTGCCACCAATTGTGGTCATATGTTTCACCACACTTGTCTCAAACAATGGATGGAGCGGTAAGTGTGCCACAATCTCCACCAATAGTTTTAGATGAAAACAGAATTATTCTATTTACATACACATGAAACAGTTCAAAGTCCTGCCCTCAGTGCCGTAACAAGTGTACGGACCGAAATGTATTCCGCATTTACTTCAATTTGGCGAATCTGGATGTCAGTACAATAGACGTAGGCTCCCTGCAGGAACAAATAGATAACACAAATTTGCAGTTGAAAATGAAAGAACAGGAGCTTAACAAAGCGGAAAGGCAGATTAAGGAGCTTAAAGACCGGCAAATAATGGCAGCGTAAATTCAATTATACAAATTTAACATTTTAAATTCATGAAATTAAACTGTTCTTTATATTTACTAAATAGAAAAACAATTCAAGCGATGGAGGCTAGAATCCAGAAAAATGATTTCGCGATTCTTACGTATTCAGAGCAAGTTAGTACTGCATTTGTTTTTGCAAATCATATAACCATATATGGTACTTTCTTCCGATTGTAGCTGAAAATCCTCAAGACTGAAGCAAAAATGGCCGATGACTACCGTAAGGAGGTGGAGCGGCTAAAACAACAAATAAAAACAATCGAGTCTGTACAGTCCATACTCGCAGCTACAAATGTTGAAGCTGAAAAAATGCTCAAAATTGAAAAGGACCCCTTACGTTTGAGCACTTGGGTGGCGGCACTTAAGCGGTTAGTATATAAAAAGTAAAAAATGACTTTAAACTTTAAAGCCATTCTACCGAAATTTTTTTTTGGAAATGCAGCTGAAATAGCAAACATTTGCTGGATGATACTCACTGTGAGGACGTTTACTTACGCCATCCTTAGTATTTATTTATATTGTAGGTATTCACACCAACATCGGTTCATCGGTTCAGTTGATTACCTGGTTTAATTTTTAATGCAGCTAACAACAAAACGCACTGGAATAACAATCTGCGACCAGGTAATCTGTTAACCAAGAAGGTGTGAATGCTTACAGTTGTATATATCGTCGCTACCATGTCAAACTATCCAATGTGCGCAAATGCTTTTACAATTATGATACCTTGCGCATGCATTTAGAGGGCAATGCAAATTCGCAAGTCGTCAAATTTCGAGTATTAGAAGCAGAGAATACAAAGTGTCGAATCCCACACAACAACATTTTTTACAACAGTTTCTTTGCTCTTCTGAAATTTGCTCATTTTCACATTCGCTAGTTTGACATGGTAGTGACGATATGTAGACTACAGTTTTTTATTCTAATTCAAATATAGTGAGCTACGTACCTGTGAAACCAAGAAAACGGATCTTAGGAGAGCAATGAAAGTTATGCAGGACAACTTGCGTCAAGAAATGGCCACGAAAAGGTAACATAATCCTTCAATATGTTTTAATTGCCGTTTATATGTTTGCCTTCTGTTCAATTCGCAGATCTTGTGAGGAACGCATTTCACTATTAGAAAGTGAAAATTATCAGCTACAAGAGAGAGTAATAAAGGCTTCAATTCTAAAGGCTCTATCTCTGAAACTCTACTTTCTTCCAGATTAAAAAGCAGGAGACAAAAGCGTCGCCAAGCTTTATGACTGATCATCGACGTCGGAGCACTGAATCAGCGCCGATTGCCTTACCCGAAAAACGCCAAACTTTGTCGCCGACAATTGTTCGTAAAATATCAAACTTTATAAGTCTTTTATACTTACATTCATTTCTATATCGTCTTTTTGTAGAAGGAAAATATTAAAGTTATTGAAGACTCCAACTCGCCATATCTCAATATTAAATCAAGCAGCATAGGTCTTCTGCCATTATTTAAGCGTAATCAAGAAATTCAGCAAGATCGTACAGCAAATACTACAACAAAATTAGCCACATTGAAAATATCGCCGAAGAAGACTGAGAAAGGAATTTCCGCTAATGGCATAAGCAGTAGTTCTGGAATGCTGCGTAAAACTCAAAGTGATATCACAGAAAAGGTTAATTTAGAGTCTCATAAATCTTGAATTGTATTAATTTACCCTCAAATATTTCATATTTAGTATTCCATTATGAAAAAACCTCGCTTGGCTATAAGCACTTCCTCAGCAACTGGCAAACACTTTGGCATGAACTTTGAGCTGAGTGCTACGCGTACAGGATCTCCCACAAAGCCCAAACCAATTGGGAGCACTTTGGACAGCCGACTAAGAGCTGGTGGACTGCGCAATTTTAAGTTAAACAAATGATGTCTGCTGGCCGACTTGCATTTGCAATTAATTTATAGCCAGCATGTATTTAAATTAATGTAAATTAGATATTTATGAGATTTTTTTATTATTGTGTGCTATTAAGTTTAATTATTTTGTAGTCTTAAACAAGCTTTTTTTTACTTTTGCAATTGTATGGGAGCATTTTGATACTCGCACGGCATGCATTTCTAGCCCATAATCCAAGAGGATTTAGCCAACCAAGAGCTATTGATTCAGCTATTTAGCCCTGTTAAAGTGAAATGAGACGTGGAATGGCTGAAATGTACAGAAAACTTTTGTTGGAAAAATTACATGTATAATGAGATATTAACTGTGGGCAACGCATGCATCCAACAAAAAAGATGGCATTTGTTATAAAAGGCTATGTTTATTAAGGTTAATTGATTCGCGTTTTTTTTTTTGCTTTTCGTATGAATGTAGAAAATTTTTCAAATAAATAGATGTTATANAAGTGAAATAAAATAAGACAAATTTCCGACAGATTTGACCACAGTGCTCTACACGTCATTGCCATTTATTTACGAACAAAGCCTAAAAGGTAAGAGGAAATGAATTTAAACAGGGTGTAACCAGTGTTTATCACCCTATACTTCCGGTAGTGCATTCCAGTGACGTGCGGTAGTGAATTCCAGTGGAAGTTTTGTGATCTATCCCTGTTCTGACATTCGTTCTTGTTTTTGTTTTCTTTGTTTTCACTGGACATCGCAATAAGTTGTTCCCTTGCAGATCTTGTGCAGTTTTTTCACAAATTGTGAGGTAATTATTACACTTTTTATAAAAGTTTTTTTCATAAAAGTCTGCTTTACATTACCATAAACCACAAAATCATATATTTCCGCAAACATTTTGTTTAGGTGCGTGCTGAGTGCTGATGAAAAAAGACATTATTCGTCAATGCATCTCCTCGATAGCAATTGAGAAGATACAAAATCAGCTGAAAAATAAACAACAAATTGATGAAAATTATCTTATCTTTTCGAGTGTATAGTTTTGTGAAATCATTGGGCTTGCACTAAAAGAAAGCTGAAATTTAATTGATTTACTGGTAACAGGAATGGGTAATCATATTGTTTATGAAATTGATGAAGATGACTTCAATGATGAGGATGTTGACGAAATGCTTGGCGAGCAATTGAGCTTAGCCGTTGGTACTGTTATGAGTCAGTTGGAACGTTTGGAACGACTTAACCCGTTAGAAAGGCCTACGACACAAATGCCTGTGATACGAAAGAATCCAGATTTGCGAACATTTCGCGTAAGTTGTTGGACGATTTATAGATTTTTATGAATAAGTTATGTTTATTTTCTTCCACTTACCATCATTCATAGCATACAATGTTGTACAAAGAAATCAAGGCTTTGTGTGCCCTGCCAGCGAATAGTAATCGACCCAGTGAACGCTGGTCGTTGACGCGTGGTCTACTGAGGCGTGAGAACGGTATAGCCGCACATCCAGCTGGTTCGTTTACACCGAATCAACAACGTCGCATAGCTAACCTATTTGTGCCTAATAACAAGGAAGAGCGCCTAATGTCATTGGAGGCTAAAGTTTTCGTTTGCAAATTTAATAAGGATGGAAGCAAGTTGGTTACCGCTTGTCAAGGTATTTGATTTTCGAAAATGATTACCAAATTGTAAGCAAAGTGAGCAGAGGGTAGATATTATTCCTTACCTCCCGCACAGTAAGCGTGCGCAATGCTGTAAAGTGCATTAATAGGCTTACAAAGTAAAAAACCATCAAATGCCTTTCTTGCATCCAACAAATTTTCTCTTAATATTCCAATATTATTCTATTGTAGATTCAATTATACGCATTTTCGACTCTTCGAAGGGCACATACCACCGCATAAATCGCATAACGGCTGACGTATGCAATTGGAGTATTTTGGATGTTGATTTCAGTCCCTGTGGACAATATATCGCTTATTCTACCTGGTCGGATACATGTAAGCATCTTTTGTTTAATAAAAATAAATTGCATTCTTTTTACAGCACATATTTTACTTATAGTTTTCGTGCTACCCGTGAATGGTAACGGCAGAGAATTGCAATGGCTTAATTTGAATGCCGAACAAACACGCTCCGGTATCTTTTCCTTGCGTTTTTCGCCATGCGGACAAAATATAATCGGTGGCTGTAATAATTCACTGATCTACATGGTCGATCGGGAGTCACGCGCTGTGCGTACAATTAACACACAACGAAACCACAAGTCCGATATAAATGCTGTTAGTTTCGTAAGCGATCAAGATTCTAATATATTTGTTTCTGGTTGCAATGATGGTGTATTAAAATTATGGGATTTACGTTGTGTTGGAAGTTCGGGGCGTGCGGGCAGTGGTACAGGTTCCGGTAGCAGTAACAGCAACAGCAGATATAATAACAACAGGCATGCACCAGTTGGCGTGTTTAGAGGTCATTTAGATGGCATTACTTACATTGATCCGCGCAATGATGGTCATTACCTGCTAACTAATTCCAAAGATCAAAGCATTAAAATTTGGGACTTACGAATGACAACCCCTAGTAACAAACTAAATAAGGTGAAACTGCCATTGATTCCATGGGATTATCGTTGGGATACAGTACCACGTGATTGTAATAGTTTTAAATAAGCTATAACACAAATATATTTCTAAATTCACTTTATTCACTATAGATTACAACCCGAAGGCAACGTTGGAAGGCGATGTTAGCGTTATGACATATCGTGGTCACCGTGTCACAAAAAGTCTATTGCGTGCGAAATTCTCCCCCGCACTGCAAACTGGACAGCGCTACATTTACACGGGCTGTGGCACAGGCAGGATCATAAGTATGTAATGAAAGGCGGAGAAAGCAGGATGGGAAGAAAGTTATTTTTTATATTCTCTATAAAGGGATCGCTTTAATAAGAAGATACTAAGATCAAATAACAACACCTGCTATTTAATGCAAATTTTAGCCTAGGTCGCACCCATTCTGCATTTACCTTCCATGAGAATATAAATTCTACATATTAAATGAGTTCTATTTTCAGTTTATGATGTTTTAACTGGACAAATAAAAGAGGCTATTGAAGGACATAAAGACATCGTTCGCGACTTAGCATGGCATCCTGTGCGTTCAGAAATAGTATCAAGTTCGGTACGTCGAATACTTTTTAGTACACATTTAAGACGAATTATTTTAATAACGAAATTGTCTTATCTTTTTAGTGGGATTCGCATGTGAATCTTAATACCTTCAAACATAATCCCCTCCTGAAAAGACCTAGTTCTGGTCCGGGTTATCAAGGCTCCCTGCGACGTTCATTACGTATTGCACATCAAAATGGTGACTTAGATGATGATGCCGAAGAGGATGAGGTAAATAATGACACATTTCTAAGCATTTCTAAGGCACTAACATTTTGAATATTTTTCTCGCACAGCCCGAGCAGACATGGTAGCGGTCCTCGTCGCGTAGCAACCGATTTTAGCCAGCAGAAACTTAAACATCTAAGTTCGTATAGGGAGGCACAGCATCAACATAAGAAACAAAACAAAATAAGCATACACCCACTACATACTTTTGACTTTGAAAATGCATACATTACATATAATATATATAAATAATTTCGGTTAATTCGCATGCTTATTTTTAAGTGTTGTACAACTTAAATGGTCATTTACATATAAAGATGTAAATATGAAGTGTTACGTTTATAGGTTACCAATCCACACTAAATTAGTATTTAGCAGGGGTCAAAATTTAAATTCTATTTTTCACATAGCTTTTGAAAACTACCGGATTTTGACTACTGCCCTAATTAGGTCAATGAGGTTTTTATAACAACCTAAGAAGTTTAAATTTAAATTAAATAAAAATGGATTTTCTCAGGCTAGTAACATTCGTTTTTTTATTAGTAATATTCTATATAGGTTGGAACACATTTTTTCTTTTCAGTGATTTCATATGAAATCGAGGTATTCTTTTCCTCTGTTTTGTTTTGGCCTTATAAGCCTTTACCACGTTGAATTTATAATTGGCAAATATAGCCCTTGGATTAACATTCTGATATTTATTTATTTTACAGTTCCAAAGATGCAAGATACGCTCCTTATCTTTGGGTTGATCCACTACGTTAAGTTGTAGATTTTGCTCACTATACGAATAGCCAGGGAATTGTGATATTGTTGCTCCATTGAATAGGTCTAAATCGACGTTACGGAATTTTTCTGCGCAAAATGAGGAAACAGTGAGGACATTGAAAGAATTACATTTGGCTATTAGTTCATCAAGTGTCAGCGATTGAAGGTATATTTCTTCACTTACATTTTTTTTAGCTTTCCCCCATGACTTTGGTACTTGCTTGGTTTGGGCACCATGACCAGCTATGCCTTCAAGTTTTTTCTGTTTCTTTGACTTTTTACTCGAAGCTTGTGCAGGACTCTCTACTTTTGCTGCCGCATTTAAGTCTGCAATAGAAGTATCTTGCAACTTTTCCTTATTTTTTAATTTTTTATTTTTCTTAACGGATATTCCAGTTATTAATTCAATATCGGCAGGACCTTGGTTCACTGGAATATTTTCATCATCTTGCAGTGGGTTATCTTTTTTCCTTTTTTTGTTGGGCAGTTGGGATGCTGGAATTTCATCCACATTGTTTAATGTTACCCCGTCTTTAGTTTCCAGGGATTTCTCATTTTCTTTTTTCTTGGATTTATTTTTCTTAGGTTTTTCATTTACATCGCTCACTGTTGCCAATGAATTTATACTGCTTTCTTCGTAGTGCTGTTCTCCACTAATGTTCTTAGACTTTTTCTTTGTACATATTTCAGCAGTTCCATCGTATTCTTCTTGCGTCATGTCCACCGTTTTTAATGCACTACGCTTCTTTTTCTTTTTAATCTTTTTAGACTCAGTCAGGCCCTCCGATTCTTGAATATTCGCTTCCGTCAAGGCGGTTACATTATCTAATTCAATATTTTCAGGCAGACTCTTCGTTTTCTTACGCTTTTCTACGTTTCGTTTAATATTTATTTCTAAACCTCCTTCAATTACGCTAACATCGTTTGTACCATTTATTTCATTTTCAGTATGCAATGAGGCTTCGTCGCCTTTGCGTTTTTTACTTTTCTTTTTAGTTTCCATAGGGTCTTGCCCCTGCATTTCTGCAGTCACTTGGTTTCCATTCTTCTCCTCACCTCCGGATTTGATGGGCTTTTGTTTATTTCTCATTGCTTCCATTTTTTTCTTAAAATAATCACTCACCGATAACCCCGTGCTTATCGTCTGCACACCGGCGAAATTAGGCTTCACCTCCTTCGCTTCTACAACTGGTATTTCATTCACTTCTTTTGGTTGATTCGACATCATCGCATTGAGCTCCGCATATATTCCTTCTGTTTGCTCTGTTTCAACCGCTTTCTTTCCAAATATATTAGCCAAATCCTTTTCACTGTATTGAGCAATATCCTTTCCCTTCGTAAATTTACGATAATGGACACGAGCTTTACTCTGCTTTGACTTCTCTTCTAGCGAAATACCACTAATTTTATCCTTTAGCTTTTCCACTTTGGGCTTTTTTGGTTCAGGCGCAAAACCAAAACCCACACGAGGCGCTTCCTCATCAGTGGTACTTTCCTTATCACCATCAGCATTTACACCCTGATCATTTTCGCTACTCAATGATTTCAGCAAACCATTAAATTCTTGTTCATGCTGCGTCCAGTGGTCATCACGATCTTCGAAACCCAAACCTTCATTTGTGTTTCGCATTCGGACGCGCACAAAATCTTGACTACCATGCAAATTAGCACCCAGTCCTTTTCCTTTGGACCAGCCCATTTTCTCCAACATTTTCGTACCAAAGCGCGTTTCATCTGAAAGATAAAGCGATTCGTTAAGAGCCTCAATAAAAATGCATCACTCGAACCTTCATACAACGCTTTGCCTCGAGGTGTTAAGTTATATCGCTTTTTCTGTCGGGGCTCAGCAAGCATTGCCATTTATACGACACTTATTAAACAATCTTTTTCTAATTATTTACAAATAATTATAAAATTACTCAAAAACTAAAACAAAACCAATTGCGCCTGCTGCTGACCACGCGTGTCAGCCGTACGTTCAGTGGCAATCAATATTCCAAACGTCAAAAGTACGCTGGTTGGAACATAAATGTGTGAATTATGTATTTTTAAATTTTTAAAAACTACTAGTGCATTAATTTGATGTTAAAACAATTAAAAACAAAAAAATAAAAAATAACGCACAATATCACATAAACAAAAAATCGTTAACAAAAATAACCGGTTCCTGAGAAAAACCGCCAATATTTTTACACCAATAGCTTCCACTGAACACACTCGCTCCATTGATAACAGCTGTAATTTTGCGATTTCTGGTTTTTATCAATTTAAGGTAATTATTAAAAGTGAAAGCTATGGAGGATAGCGCAAGAACGCAAAAAGTAATCTCCCAAGCAGCACAATGGAGTTTTGAAGGAGATTGTTCGCTGCTCGCTTGGATGCAGGATCTTTCACAGGTAATAGAACGAAGAGCATCTGCCACAAGCGATGCACTGCAGCAACTTGCTGTAAATGTAAATAGAACGGCAATAGCCTTGGACAATTCGGCCAATAGTTTGACGGCTTTGCAGTATACACAGTTCGTAGAGAGTCGCTGCCATGATGATGACGAAACCCTTACAAATACAGCTGACACTCATGTGAAAGTCTTGAGCACGGTATGAGTGTCATATTTCAATATGTATTTATGTAATGTTCTGCCCATTGTAGTCCACCGACCAACCGAAGTCCACCAATGAAGTGCTGGAAACTTTTCTGCAAAAAAATTTGCAAATGCTCAACAATTGTCATGAGAAGTACTCTTTAGATTTTGAAGACTCTGATGAGGACGAATCCGTCACAACGAACAAGTAACATTGCATATATAAATTAATCAAGGAGAAGGGTTATCAAAATATATTATATCCACTTTCAGCTGCATTTATCAACCAAAAAATCCTTACAATGACGCATTATTGCCGCATATTTATGGTAGCAAACTATGGAAAGAGCATTGGCATGTAGGCCTGTGTGATGGCTCCAACGAATATTCGGGCGATGAAGCATCTGATGCATTCTCCGAATCCTCCAGGTCATCAACTGCTGATAACGAGTCATACGAGAGTAATACAGCGAATCTCTCAGAATGGGCTTCAAGTACCTCCATACCAATTGAACATAAACACCCTCAGGTGGTTGCTCAAAATGTACCTACAATAACAACTACTCCACCGCAGAACCGGCGCATATCCATTACACAACACATCCCAAGCAACGATGATAGTGACACTTGTTCTACAACGTCTCGAAGTACTGCAAACAATCCACAATCGCGTCAAAGAGGTGAACATGATTTGTTTACTGCTGCCTTGCGGCATGATACACCAGTTACAAGCACATCTGCGTCTTCATCACCACAACAACAGCAATATGCTCCTTCTACGTTGCGAAATCAACGTAATGTGGTGCAGCTTCCGTCGGTGTTGCCACCTTTCTTCGACGCTACTCCCCCTACTGACATTTTCGATGAAGCAGCATCAACGAAACAAAGTAGCAATCGCACAAGCGATACAATACCACAAAAATCAGCCGACGTTCATGGTAAAGTGAAGCCTGTAAACTTGTTCGACGATGATGATTTCAATTCCTTTATGACGGATGTCGTAGAGAAGCCACAAATTAACGCTGCTCAGCCAGCGCAAATACCGGTGCCAGCGACTAGAAATCTGCCAACGAAAAAAGAAACTGGTGCAACAGCGAAACAAGTACCTGTAGCAACAGCCTTAGATATGTTTACCGACACGTTGAATATTCAAAAGCCAGTAGAAAGCCAACCAACGGGGCGGATGAATATTGAAAATGTAACGGAAGTTAATCAGCGAAAGCCAGTGAATCTTTTCGTTAGCCCTGAAAACAGTCTGCCCAATGATTCGCTCTTCTCTTCAGCTATTATCAATGAAAAGAAGGGGGCTGATGTCGTGCAAAAAGCAACTAAGCCAAATATATCTGCAAAATTGTTGTTTGATGACGATGAGGACGATGATGACTTTTTAAATGTTTTTGGTTCGAAAAAATTAAGCTTGCCACAGAGAAGCGCAGGTAGAACTCTACTTTTCGACGATGATAGTGGCGAAAAAACGCCGATTACTATGCAGTCTTCAAGATTAGCAAGTGATCTATTTGCCTATACACAACCTGCAGATAAGGAAGTATCCTCTATTTCAACACTTCAAAGGCAGGAAACAAACAAATCGACGGCTAGTGGCGGAATAAAAGAAAATGCGAATAGCGCAGGCAAACAAAAAGATCGGACGGCACTATCTAAAGTTGACCTATTTGCTGATTTTGAGGATGAAAATGCAACACTGACGTCGTCCAAAGAGGGAGTGACACCGCAGGTAAGTAAAACTTTATTCAATTTAACTAGAAACCCCTTATTAAATGTATTTTTTCTTCAGACATTAGAATCGAATGCAGTTAAACCAAATAAAATTAACTTTGGGAATGATCTCTTTGGTGATGAAGACAATGACGATTTAGATGATTTATTCAAGAACAAATCCAGAAGTCAACAATCAACTAAAACGATTAGGGATAGACCTTTAGAAAAAGATCCCAACATCGCAGAACCTACAAAATTGAATTCTAAAGAGAATATAAAGCAAACAGAATCATTGTTTGAAAATGAGGATGATTTATTTAGCAATCCTTTTGCGCAAGAAGATTTAAAAGGTTCAAATGGCATCGCTTCTAACAGTGCGACAAAAATAGTAGATCCCCCTCAAATAGATCTACCAAGTAACAATCTACAAAACACAACTGTGCCTACACAAAACGTATTTAAAAGCGCAACACTATTCGCTGGTGATTTCGATGATGAATCCGACGATTTATTCGGCGGGAAGCCAAATACGAAATCAGTACGTAATGAAAACATAGAAGAAGGTGTCCTGACTTCATTGCGGCAGCAAAGAGAAAGCAAATCGCCGTTGCATGCAGCAAGAACAGCATGTAATCTGAAATCCGTAGAAGATGTGAATCAACAAAGATCTATTTTTGAAGATGTTATGGAAAATGAGGAGTCCGATTTATTTAAAATTGATAAAGAAATCACCAAAGACACGATTGAGGAAAAATCTGACCCTCTGAGGTCTAATTATTCTGCGCCCACTGCCGAAGAACCAGAAAGCGCTTTATTTGTTGAAACAGGTGCTACAGCGTCAGTTCCTAAACAACAAACTAACGCAGCTGTTTGTGGAAATGGAAGTAATACAGTTGTGACGGTGAAGCAAATATCAAAGGATGAATATTTAACAGGGAAAATGAGACAGGAGTCTGAGGACAAATTTGCTGGTGGCCAAAATACTAAAACAAGCAGGTCATCAAGCGTTGCAGAATCTACAAAACATGAAGGTAACAACTCTGTCGCCGAGGTGACAAGAAGTCGCTTAGAACTCGAATCTGATTTAGCACCGTCCGAAGAAATTCTTACATCAGAGCCCATGCTGCAGCCAGCACAGCAATCAGCAAATGCTACAGCTGACTTAAGAGTGCAGCCTTTGCTATCAACAAGGGCCGATGCAAAGAATCATGAATATCCTAGCATTTTTCTTGACGAACCGCCTGATGATGATGACTTTTTCACAACGCTCAGCAGTAGTACGCACCCTTTATCTGTCTCAAAATTAACACTGGACTTAGAAAGTGATTTCTATGAACCTGCCTTACCCGCCACGCCAAATGCAGCACTAACAGTAACCTCTAAGGCTACAAATCAAACTCAAAAAGACGTGAATAACAAACAACAACCAAGCAGCAGCGATTACGGAGGTTTACGTTTGTTTTGTGAAATTCCGCCAGACGATGATGGCGACGATTTTAGCTTCGCTGTATCCACGCGATACTCAGCTGAAAATTCTGTAGCCAGCCAACGTTTGCATAGCGTTTTCTATGATGATTTTTCCGAGACTTTGGAGGCAGTGCAGCAAATAAAGGAAAAGCAAACGACAACGCCTGCGCTTTTCGATGATGGACCACCAACGGATGCAGACCATTTCGATATAATGAGAAAAATTGGTCAGATAGAGCCACAAGCGAATAACATAGAAGAGGAGAGAAGTTTCCTGGATTCAACGAAGCAAATATCATCCGCAAGAAATGATAGTTTCAAGAGTGAAAAGGAAAAGAATGGAACACAATCGGTAGCAAACGCCTCTATGCCTTCAAACGATGTAACTGATCAGGCAGTACAAAAAGAAGATTCAGAACATTTGTCCACAGCTGGTAAAATGCGGAGTCCCGCAGGCAAATTGCAAATACCAAATATAAAAATAAATGTGCAGGCACTTTTGCCTGGTGGGGGTGGCATGCAAAGCTTCAAAAAGTCGCCCACTACTCCAGAGGTGGCCAAAGCCATGGAAACACCAACTACAATTCCAGAATCACTAGCAGAGGCGAGCAAAGAACTTCCGCGCGCTTCTTCCCCTCTTCCAACTACTTCCGCTGAGCCAGCGGCGAATGAAAATATATTGCCAAGTGTTTGCAAGACTCGAGTCCGTGCGCCAGTCGGCAGGCGACCATCAACACGTAGAGCGCGTCAAGAAAATTATCGCCAATCTCTGCTTGCCGAGCAAGCAGACCTCAAAGACGATGATGGTGCTTTAGCGCAAACAAACGCGCCCAGTAGCAGCCTACAACATCAGGCAAAAGAAAAAGCTATTGCAAGCTCTACACAAACACTATCCAGCCAACCAAAAACTGATCAAATTACAGTGCCTAGTACATTCCAGAAGCCGAGCGGTGGCGTCTTTAAAACACCGCACGCAAATTTGCTCGAGGAGGATGACAGCCAAAACAATTTGCTCTTTCGCTCTGCATACACCCGTAGTGCATCAAGCAATAAACCAGCACACATTTCTGATATCAACACACCGAATCTCTTAATGCAACGAAAATCTACCGAACAGGCAGCTGTGCCTGTGTCACGCCCAGTTCAAGCAGCCGCCAGAAATCAAACAACGTATGCAAAAGGTTTCACCGACAACAGCGATGATGAATCAGATGATCTATTTAAGGGCACTAAACCCATTACCGCAGCGTCTCAGTTTAATACTGCTGACAATGGCAAAAGTATAACAACAAAACCGAGTAACATAACTGCAATAACGAACGCCACGAAATCTCTTTTTGACACACCTCCAAATGAGGATTCCGATGAAGATCTCTTCAAAGGCAGTAAATCAACAGCCAAAGCAAAAACAACACAAACAACGAAATCTTTAACAGCAACAACAACAACAACGGCAGTAACCAATGTTATTGCTCGACCTAAAGCTACAACTGCTGGTGTAGTGGGCGGCAAATTGGACTCGATTTTCGGTAGCGATGATGAAGACGATGACTTTTTGTCAAATCTGAAGAGCAAAAAGAAACCCATAGCAACAATGCTAAAAGCTGCAAGCGCAGGTAGCGCAGTGAAGCCGGCAACGCCGAGCGGTGGCGGCCTGTTTAGTGATATGGAAAGTGATGAGGATGACCTGTTTGGTGGTGGCAAGAGTAAAACAAAACAAGGTATGCATAGTAATTAAAAAAATTTTTTAGTTGTGTTTTTCGTATTTACGCAATAAATTTTCGATTTCATAGATGCCATTAAAACCAAGAAGGTAGCTTATGCCACAAAAACACACTTAGCGAATGCAGCAACGTCTGAAAATCCAGCGAGTTTAGCTGATAATCCGTTAGCAGATTTGTTAAACCCTTAAGATATACAGAGATGAATATAATGAAATCCCAGTAACCCACACTTAAAAACACCAACCACAAAAGTGCATTAAACTTGGAAAAAAAACAATTATTTTTCAAGTTGTATTTAATTAGCGAAAACAAAGTTAAACACTTTTAATGAATTTTCTATGAACCAATTTGAGTTTTTAATTTTATTTTGTAGTATATTAAATTCATACACTCGAACAATTTGTTTCTTTACATACATTCATACGCGTATACACAATATTGAGTAAAAATAATTCTCATCCATTGTATAGAGTATTAAAATTTACATTTATTATTATTGTATTAAATTAGCAAATAAAATGAATTAAATTGAAATAAAGTGAAATAAAAAAACTACGATAATTATAAAATTTTAATTTAGTGTTAGTAAATGTATAGCGCAGAAACATGGAAGGTATCGAACAAAGAAGAGATGACTTTCGAAAGAACAATTCTGCCGCTGTTCGAGAGGAACCAGTCTGCACTTGGATTGAAAAAAGAAAACGGAGAGAGACAAATAGCGAAACCGACAAAGGGGAGTGTAGACTTAATTTTTTATGAATTTATTTGCAGCTTTATTGTAATTTTTTAAAGAACCTATATGTATGCACATTAATTTAATATTTTAACAAATGCATACGCTACATATGTATGAGTATTCATTATGCATGTACTGTTTTCGTTATTTTTGAGTTAGCTGGCTCTTTGGTTGTCGTTATTGCTAGCGCTACTTTCGATAGCTTTTACTTAATGTCATCTTGACAGATCATAATTTTAAATGTGGCTTTAGTTTGTGGCATACAAAAATATTATTTAGTATTTTGCCATTTTGCTAAAATATAAACATTGCAATTTAAGTTGAAATATTATATTTTCACTTTATTTTTCCATTTTTTTTCAGGAGCCGTAACGGTTATGATCTTTATAGAAAAAATCATAATCAGCCTTATCATGAGTTTCATTTTCCCCGAACCGGTTCACTTTTCACATTTGGTTTCCATGGACGGAATAAAAATTTTCCGGTGAATTTTTCGGTCGAAACTAAGGAATATAATCGCTAAAATTGGATTTCTATTTTTCCGATGATATTTACCCATTATTTTATAATAATTAGAAATAATAATTAATATTTAATTTTTAATTTTTATTTTTTCTATCAAAAATAATGATTATTTTATGATTTTTATATTTTTGCTTAAAGATAATAATTTTTGTAGAATTTCACTCTTTCACTTATAAAAAATGATTATTCAAAAAACTTAAAAACTATACTAATGTGATTTATAAAAGTACCATTTTCAGAGGTAACGACTCCCTCAAAATCAAAATCAAAGTCTCAAAATTTTCAGGCTAGAATTTTAGTTGGTTGCGTCCTTTCAATTTTACAAATAATCATTATTTGGAAGTGGAAACAATAAATTCAATAATAATTATTATTTCTGAGCGAAAAAATAAAAAAAAAACTTTCATTACAAAAAAAAAATAAACATCCAAAATAACGATTAGTTTTGGTCGAAAAAATCACCAAACTTAAATCATTAAACATGACGAGCTCCAAACTAAAAAAAAAAATAATAAAAAAACCAAAATATCACCATTTGGCAATGATCTGAAATTTTAATATTGATATTTAACGGTTACTTTCGGTCCCTGATTTTTATAATGTAAATCTATCATTTGTATAATTTTATTCAGTTACATTTTTTATCTGTACAAATTTTATGTTTTTGATGTTAATTTTCTTTCATATTTTATTTAGACTTTTTTTACTTTCTATTTTGGTAAAATTTTTGTTAATTTTGTTTTATTTTATTTTCCTTGTTTTATTTTACTTTATTTTATTTAGTTTTATTTTATTTTATTTAATTTTATTTTATTTTATTTTATTTTATTTTATTTCATTTTATTTTATTTTATTTTATTGTTTTCTTTTATTTTGCTTGATTTTATTTTGTTTTATTTTATTTTATTTTATTTTATTTTATTTTATTTTATTTTATTTTATTTTATTTTATTTTATTTTATTTTATTTTATTTTATTTTATTTTATTATTTTTATTTTATTTTTTTTTATTTTTTTTTATTCCATTTTATTTTATTTTTTCTATTATTTTATTTTAGTGTATTTTTTTAGTTCTATTTGAAATTTCATTTAAAATAATTAATTGCATTTCAATTTATCTCGATCAGTACTTATTCATATATTATTTCTATAACAATTTCCTAAAAATATTCGCATCAAAATTAATCTAAATTCCTAACCTAAAGTCATTATTGACTGTTGCTCTAGCACCTTAAGACGACATAACCTAATAACTATTTTCTATGCACCCGACTTTTTGCATCTACAGCGCCACGTCGCGATACTTGCGATAATCGTCGGAATCATTGCCCAGCGACAATTTGCTGTTCGCCGTTATGTAGGGATTCGTGTAGTTCGCATAATCGAAGCCGCCATAGTATTGCAAATGTTGAGAGTTTCTGCGCGGCAGTGGCTGCGCCAACCCGGTGCCCGTAAATGGACCCACAACCGAACCACTCGACGGCCGTCGATAGATGCCGCTGCCGTGCACCGGATTCAAATAGCCGCTCAACATGGCCAAGTAGTACTGCTGTTGCTGTGAATAGTTCTGCAACAGATTATTCCCATACGCAGCCAATTCGCTTTGCACCTTCGCAATGCCATCCAAATTCTCCAGCGATATGCAATTGCGCGTCAACTTTGTTGTTGTTGTCGCTTGCGGTAACTTCTCCGGTGAGCGGTGCCGCTGTTGTGGCGGTGTTGGTTGCTTTGGCTCGATTGAGCAGTAAATTGGATCATTAACCGAACCTATTAACGAAGGTGGCGGATGATGTTTGTTCGAATCCTGTATGCTGTGCTTCAGATCGTCGATGGTTATATTGAAGTATTTGCCATTCTTGTCCTCCGTATCGAGCACGTAGCGTGGATTATACATGCCGGGAAGTGTGCAACGCAAATCCATCAATGATTGCGCGCGATGGCCTAAAGAATTGGAATGAAAGAAGAAAAAAAATTAGCAACGTTTTTTTTTTTTTTTTTCGTTAAACACTTTTAATAACGGCGCTAATTAATCATCTTGGCGGCTTACCGTTGCGCATTTGCACACCGCCGTTTCCATAACCGCCATGGCCACTGAACTGTTGCATGTATTGTGGTGTGAATGTTGCAGCATTGAATTCATTTTGAGAGCCAAATAGCGGATTGTTGTTGTACACAGCATTTAGGCCTTGCGCTTGCGGGCTGCACATATTGATCTTCGTTGTTGGTTCGCTCACCTCATAGCCGGCATTCTCGAAAGCGCCGCCGCTCTGTCGTCGTTTACTGGAACGACGCGAATCGGTCTTGACTATTGGCACACTTGGCGGCGGTGTCTGCAATTGGAGGCGTGTGGCCAAACCCTGCAGCTGTGTCAGCACCTGTGACTCGCGGCGCCACCTGCAAGAAAGTGTATGTTCGTAATAAATAGTGTAAAATAACGAATGCCAACAAAAGACTCAAGCAGCGAACTTGTAGGAAGTTTAGTTAAAGTTTAATTTAAGATAATCTAATTTATTTCACTTATCACGCATTTTATATAAATACCAACACAAATATGTGCACGAAACTTTTACCAAAGTTAATAAGAAAAGGCAAATAATAAAAATTTTCTATAAAAAATGTGCAATTGTAGCGCACAGACAATTTCTATGTTGCTTTACTTAAGTACGCAGTTTCACTGCTAAATAAATCAGCATTTTAATTGCACTTTTACTTTCCTACATAGAAATCGGTTTTTGGTTGCATACTTAGCAGAAAAAAACCCAAAATAAATAGAAAATAGCAAACATAGGCATAGGGAAAATTCACATAAATTTTGCGTGCTGTGAAATTGAAGTCACTTTCTTTGCACATAAATTTAAAAGCCCACCACATAAAGGAAATACAATATTTTTAGATCAACAATAGTTAATGGGTGTTAAGTGAATCTACTCTATTATACGAGAAGCAAGTTAAATTTGCGATATTTATTTTGCCTCAGTTTAGTAAATTCTAAGGATATTTAAAAGCCTAAAATTCAAAATTCAAATTTCAAAAAGTTCGAGGTGATGTCAATGTGACCAACTGCATTCGATTAAGCTGGTCAAGTGACAGAGACGTTTCGAGTTTTTCGTACTTGATTAAAAGGAATTGATTATTTGTAAGAAGGCAGGTGTTAGGTTAACAAAAAAATACTTTTGGAAAAAATTACTAAAATATTGATTTGTTTCTTGAAAAACTCCTTTTAATCAGGGACATAGAGCTGCATATTCATTTGCATAGGTAAATCAATTTTCCAACGGCGTTGGAAAATATGGCTTTGTGAACTCCAACAATGACAAATTTTCGAAAATTCGTGATAAATAAATCGCAAACAAGAACCTACATATCTGAAAAAACTAAGCGTCCTTCATATACCCTAGAAATATGTATGCCGTTCTTGTTTTTATCTAAACATAATTATTTGTATGTAGACCTTTGTTATGCATTTTCAATAGGGAGCCTGTGCGCACTACTTTTTTCGGGCAACCTGAAAAAAAAACATGCTCAAATACTAAAATATTAAACTCAATTTTGGCGTCTTAACGCCATGCGGGTTCACTAGTTTAATATATTGGCCCGCAGTCTTTTTCATTAAATGCATTACTTGCGGCGACATTCAAAAACTTTGAGAATTGTGACCAGCTGGCCCATTCAGCTTTGGTCACCTATTATGTAAATGGTTCTTTATTAGAAGCTCTTTTTCGTGCCAGAATCATACTCTACTGATTTTCATTCTCTGTTATAAAAATACTTTTTTTAGTACTTGCAATGGGAGCTTAGGTTTCATTTTTACATCGAAAATAAAACGAAACAAATGCTCAAATTTGAATCAAAACTGCTGAGGCGCAACTATTTTCGGCCACACGATTTGCTAGATTTTATTTGATTTGATTTGATTTTTTCAATTTTTCATGCCATATACTACGCACCTGTCAAACACTCATTGCGAATAAACAACCCACTCGGTTATTGAAAATTGACCTATAATTCGTTTTGCCCCAAGCTACAGTGCCAAGTTGTGGCATGCAACACCTGCCGCCATCGAACTTGTTTCCTAGACCAGTTGCAAAATGTGTGTTAAAAGCGAGTTTCGGCAAGGTCGAAAGTAAAATTTGAATGCGCAGCGTGGTTATGCGAAAGCATGCGCTTTCAATACAGGTTACTGCCACTGGCATGGTGTTTTTTATGTTAATTAAGTGTTTTTATTTTTCACTTTTTTTTTTCATTCACATACTACATAAATGTAATGTAAATGGTTCAACTTTTGCTCTTACCTTATACCAGTTGGTATCACACAAATCAACGCAAAGCAATTTATCACCAGTCGTACAAGGTATGAAATCAACTCAGTAAGGCCATGCACCGATTGTAAGCCCTGAGAAATAAAAATGTGAGAAAAAAACGTAAAAAGGAAATCGTTAGCAAAAACTCGATAATAATAAGTGTCATAAAAAGCAGCGAAAACTTTTGATAAAAACGTAAGCATTGAAGCTATTATAAGCTCTCATATTTTTTGCAAGCAAATTTTGCTTAAGCATTAGTCTACACTTTTCTGTACTTTCATATAAGCAAACACACAAGAAAAGATACATACGCTGCAAACCAAAGTTACCGAAATCTTAACGAAATCTTTAGGAGTATCTCATTTCTGTAACGATTTTTTTACGAATCGTCAAAGAAAATTATATGAAGTGGTTGACACGAACTCGTAAAGAAATTTTTGTACGAAAAATAAAGAAAAGTCTGAAAAAAGTCTTTAAGAAATTATTCAAATAGCAGCATTTATTATTCTTTAATTGCTTTACCGATTTTCTTCCGAAATTTCGTAAAAGAATCGAACTGTGCACAATTTATTTCATTTTAGAAAATTCGGCAAAAAATCGGATGCGATCTTTACGAATTCTTTAAAATTTCTCTACAACTCAGAATACTCAGAAAAAATGATTTGCAGGGTGTTTAAAATCGTATACATATATATAAATCTTACCCAATGCTGTGTTGTCATAATCATAACTAATATCAGTTCCGGTATTGAAAGTAGACCTATGATCACTGACCACGCGAACAGACCCCATGGTAAGCCGGTGACCAGTCCATGTATGAGTATTGTTGTTGCCACAAAAACTATAAAAAATTGCGTGCATAGTATGTAGGATGAGATGGGCAAGTTGCCGTGCGCTTCCAGTATCCAGGACACTTCGCAGGAGAAGGCACCCAAGTAGACAATCTGTTATGGAATGAAGTATGTATTAATGTCAATAAAAAAATGCACATATTGAGCTCCAAAATCATTATTTTACTACGAATGGGCATTTTTACTACAATACCGAATTTTCACTAAGCATTTAAATGACAAAAAAAAATTTTGCCATTTGAAACTAAATTAATACTATTATTAATATAAAGACAGGTAATATTTAATGCCCAACTTTGTCTTCAAAATTTTGATCATTTCAGTGCTCAGGGAAATTCGTTGTAAAATAGACATAAAATTTCATTTATAGATATAATGGCTTCCAAGCTAGGAAACAAGGGCCCGTCCAAGAGTGCAGACCTTCTGCCATCAGACTGGAAACTGGCATTTTTTGCCGTGAGATATGTGCTTGTTCATGAAGTTGGCAACATTTTTTACGCGAGTTATACTCTGTACACTGGCGTGGAATTTTGTCAGCGTGACATTTCGTCACGTGAAATAGGAAAAGAGTAAGTACTATGGTTAAGGGGGAAAATCAGCTTTACAAAAATTAAAAATTGTACATATGTATTTACATTAGGGTGCATCGGCAAAAATCGTGGTGGGTTTTCCACCGGAATTATACAATTTTTTATATTTTAAGCCTTCTGCCAAATTCTTTCAGAAAATTATTAAGATTTAAGTGAGCTAGACCGATTTGAAAATACCTCAAAAAATCTGATTATTTTAATTCCGTTGATAAAAGTTTTAAACATTTTTATGCAGACCTTTTACACTTAAACTCTATTAACTTAGGTGATTTTTTAGAGAAACGGTGATTTTTTAGAGAAACTATTTTTAAAAACTAATTTCATTTATAATTTTCAAATATACATATATGTTCAGCACACATAAATCTTAATCTCTGACCGATTTTTTTTTTTACTTTGAGAGTGATGCACCCTAATGTGCATACATGCATATGTACATTAGATCGTATCAGAAAAAAAGTTCGCCGTACACCCATAAGTCTAAAGTATTTTTGCAAGGCAATTTCGTACAACTCTTTAAAACTTTTGCAAAGGAAGTATTTCGATTCAAAGGCGATTTCGGATTTTTTTGGCCGAACGTAGCGGCCTTCTTTCGCCATTTTCGTCGCATCTTCGGCATTTACAGTCGGATCTTAAAGTATGATATATCGATGCTTTTGTATAGAGAAGACAATTTTTGTTTTTCCAAAGTTCATTGGCGCATTCAGTAACTTAAGGGGCCCGGTTACATGGTTAGCACTAATCTCCGGTAAAACATCGATGTTTAATCAAAGATTAGTGTTAACCAGATATTTAGTAACCGGTCCTAAATCCAAAAAAACACTAAACTTTTGCGAAATACTTCCGATTATTTGAGTAGAACTACATAACTATGTATATAAAAAATTGAAAAAAAATTCGAAATCGCCTTGGAAAAATACTTTAAACTAAAGGCGTATCGCGAACTTTTTTTTTGTTTGCTTGTAAGATGATACTGTCTAATGTACATACATAAATATGTATGTATGGGAATCGTATAATTTATTTAAATCTATAATCAATACTCCGGACCATGCAACGTTACTACCTGTTGATGATTACAATAACTACAACAATAAACTGGCAGTGTGTGAAAAGCGAAAGTAAATCGCTCAATCAACCAATTAAACGGTCAATCAAACGGAAAAGAAAAACACAATTTATCAATGCTACATATTTAATTGTTTAGCTGATTTGACATGCACACTTGCATGTCCTATTATTTATTATTCGTAGCGTTTTTGATTCCGCTTTTCTTTTTTGTTTAGATGCCTAAGAAAGAAATTTCTGGATTGGTGAAGAAAACATTTTCCTTTCGCTATTAGTTGTTACCCCTTTGGAATCTGCATTATCTGCGCATTTTGACAACATCTGAAGTCATAAAATGCTTAAAATGTAAAAGAATCGGGTTTACTTCATAACTGTGATGAATACGTATGTTATATGGCCTTATTTTCGGGAAAAAGAGCTTTTCAAGTTTGTTTTTGTTTGCAAAGGGGGTATATTTTTTTTCAATGAACCACTACGTATTTATTTCTACATGAATAAAAAAAATTCCACATTTGTAGGTAGTACATAATATGTGTTATTATTAATGTAAACAATTTTCATTCATGTATATTATAGTACATCGTTGAGCTGAAATTTTGATTACTAAAATATATTTATGTATAATCTCATCTGTCTCATTTAAAGTGTGCTGGTATTAATGGGAGAGTTCTGGATATGATTATTGGAGACAATGGACTTCGCTGGTCATGTCCAAAGTGTAAAAAAACTGTTGTGGATCTCTGTAAACTATTTAGAACCGCTAGAAATGGATTTTCGGAGATAAGCAAAGAGCTAAAACTGCTCAACGAGAAGTTCAAGAAGTATGAGGATGAATTCAAAGAATTTAAATTATTAGATACTTCCTCCTCCTCTCCTTCTCCTGGAAAAGGTCTTAAGAGACGTAGGAGAGGCGTGGAAAATATTGTGTTGAATCCCATCACTGTGGACCTGGATCTTCCGCAGAACCGCCCACTTTTGACTCCAGCTATGAACAAAGAACTCATAAGCTTTAACACACCGATTCCTCGGCGGACTGAATCTCCCCAACCACGTCCTTCTTCTACTGGAGCCTCACTAAATTCCTGTTCCACAGCTTCATCTCAACCCTCCACCACATCTGAAGCCATCTCCGATTGCGTCAACACCGTTCCAATGCAAGTAGTCGTTGCTCCTTCCAAAAACTCCACAACTACATCTCAACCCCCTACCACATCCGAAGCCATCGTTGCTCCTTCCAAAAAGTTGACAGCTGTTCCGCAACCCCCTGTTCCGCAACCCCCTACCACATCTGAAACCGTTTCCGATTGCGTTAACCCTGTCCCGAGGGATTTAATCGTTGTCCCTTCCAAAAAATCGGTCTTTATATCTAGGTTTTCAAAAGATACCACTGTCGATGATGTGAAGGGGTATTTAACTTCCAGGCTGACAGCAAATGAGTTGCATGTACGCAAGTTCAGATTCTCGTATGAAAGAAGCATTTCTTCTTTTAAAATAGACATATCCGAAGACTGCTTTGATAGAGTAATGAGCCCATCTTTTTGGCCAAGCGGTGCCTTCATTCGCGAATTTGAATTTAGATCTAGACCGCAAGGGCAAAATTTGGCTCAACTTCCGCTTTCCACCTCGGCATCAAAAAACTAATAAGTAACCTCACCATTAGCATTTACTACCAAAATGTGAGAGGTTTGAACACAAAGCTATCAAGGTTACACTTGCAGTCCTATGATTTTGACTTCAAAGTACTGGTGTTTACTGAAACCTGGCTCAAGCCGAATGTG